GTCCTCATCAATAAGATGCTGAATATAACACGAAGTTCCTACTAAAACATGGCCAGTAGTCTGCATAGTGAAGAGAGTCCATTTTAAGGCTTCCCTTTTAGCGGAGAGAAAGGAAGATCAGTAAGACATAAGCCTTTTATGTTTACTTTCTATAATATATTAATGTAAATGACCTTTTTCAAAAATAATTTATGATCTGTAGTTTTGTATAATTTATTACTGACTGCACTTTATACATACACTTTGTACAAGACTGTATTTATATACCAGATGAGTGAATAGGTACAAAAACAAAATGAAATGATTATAAGTGATATAATAACTTTCTAACATTATTAATTTAGTTTGGTTAAATGTTTTTAGTTTACATTTATTTTAATTAATTTATCTCACAAGTTTGTCTGGCAGCTCGAACTACTGTTGCAATCATGAATAAAATAGCGAAGTGTTTTTGGTGTTTTTGTTAATGTTGATATTATCTCATTTATTTATGCTTTATTTTTCCAGGAAGGTCTAAAAAAAAAAAAAAAAAATCTCTTCTTCCAGGGAGTCCTGGCCAATGGCCTGTGCTGGCTTACATACTTTAATTGTTATATTAGTATATTATTTCTTGCTCTCCCTATCTCAAACTACAGACTAGAGCTTCTTAGGACACACATGCACAAACACACTTACCTTAGCATTCTTTTTGCCTTATAGCACTGCAAATCATATGAAACAGAATACATTCCATACAAGGTTGCCTGCACATTTAGGCAGCCAATGAAATCCTGTGGGTGGTTTTTGTAAAGATCAATGGTCAGTTTGGCAACGTCTTTCCTTGGCTTTTTCCAGCCACATCCAGGACCACTCTTGGTATTATGTTTCTGTGTAGTAAGGATATGGAGAGAGAGAAAAAAACAAGATTTTACTTAAATGTTGTACATTTTGGAAGGATACGGGTGGGGGGGGAGTGTAAGAAAAAAAGTGTAATTTTCTGTTATATGCTCCAACTGTACTTATAGTATTTCTTTTATACAAAAGAAATGTTATATTGCCTGCAGAAAACAAACAAAAATCGTTGATTTAAATTTTTGATCTGGTGTATTATCACAAAGATGATTCACAAAATCATAAACGGTTTCGTTCATGTCATGTCTTAAATTCAATATGAAAACCTTGATCTGTTCATGAGGAGCATGCGCTGGTTGCCTAGGAACATGCAAAGGTCACATGACTGAGATGCTGCCTATGTAGAGCATTCCAGATTGATCACTTGTGATGTACCATAACCTTTAAAAAGGTTTCTTAGGAGGCAGAAGAGAGAAAGGAATCTAACTAATGCAGGCTTTGGAAAAGAGCCTATATGTTAAATGTTTCTGCACTGTACTCCCAGAGTCCGTGTTTTTTTTTTTCTCGCAATACACAAGAGAAATGACAATAAAAATCGCTTGACATGAGATATGCTTTAAGGAGGTCCACTCCATTCTTCACACTTACCCTTTCTACTTTCTTCTGACCTGGAAGGTGTCTCTGAAAAAGGAAAAATAATGTGTCCTTTATGCATGTGTTGACAACTAAATTCTATATTTTGCTTAGCAATGTGTTTTAGATAATGCAACATCTTAGTTTGAGTAATTCTGAGTCTTGTAACACTGGCTTTCTAAAGCCAACTGACTTAGACTAGACTTATCACATGGTTGCATGAACATTTCTTTTTTTTGTATAGGGTTTTTAAACAATAATAGGGCCCAATAAAATGTTCTTAATTTTTCTGGTAATCAGATGAAGGCATAAAACATTAATTTAATTGATCCTAATCAAATGAAAATTAAACCCTTTTATTTTATGGCAAACAAAGTGCTGCACAACAGAGGTTTACTGTTAAAATTAAAAAGAAAACAGATGTGATAATTCCTTTAAAAATAAAGATTTATTAATATGTATTAGCAGTAGTAG